TGCTGGTCCAGAGCTAAGCTCCCCTCACAGTGCAGACAAGGTGGTGCCCGGGACAGCTCTGAAGGGCCCGTGGGGGAAGGGGACCTGCACAGTCACCAAACACACACGTCACCCAGACCCACATGAGCGGGGGCGGGTGTCCATGAGCCATCCAACCTCCAGGGCCAGACCAGCCCGCCTGTGTCCTCCACTCCAGGCTCTAGCCCTCTTGGGACGAGGGCAGGGGAGGGGGAGGGCAGCTGGGCTGTTCCTGACGCCCACGGCCACCTCGAGGCGGCCGTGGGAGGTGCGCATGGACACAGCAGTCCTCACCCTCTCTGGGAGGAGGGCAGGGGAGCCCCAGCACCTTTCAGGGGAGAGGAGAGCACAGGAAGGAAATGAAGACACGCCGTTCCTTTCTGAAACGGGGGACAGCTAATTTCTCCAGGAACAGTGCAAGCTGCCCTTCTGGACCCCACAGACCCTGCAGTGCTTGGAAAATGCTGGAGGTCAGAAGCAGTGAGCTCTAAGGCCACTCAGGGCCAGTCACAGCACCTCCAGGAGCCGCGGACACCTTACAAACACCCAGAGAGGACGATGGCAGCCCTTCCAGCCGGTTCGGAACCAGGCTCAGGGACGCCACCCCTTTGCTTGCTCGCTCCCTCCCTCCCCCCCCAGTGACCATGTGCCACGGCAGGCAAACTCCGACTGTGGCTGGGGCTGTCCCTGCCCACGCCTGAGTGCAGAGACTCGGCTGCAAACAGAAGCACGGGACGGCGGTCCCGGCCACCCCGGAGGGCTCCGTGTGTGCTCTGAAACGGAGCTTCGAGGGACAGGCATGTGGACAGCCATGCTCCTCACAGCTTCTGCCTCCCCCGCTCTCAGGCTCCTGTCGCACCCAGGAGTGGGAATGCCTCCCCTGCTGCTCCCCACCGCCTGACCGCCTGACCCGCTGGGGACAGCCATGCCCTGCGGGGAGGGGGCGCCCTGAGGCAGGCACTGCTCCTCTGCATTCCCCTAACTGCTCCCCACCGGCGGCAGAGCCAGGTGGAAGCCCCACCTGTACCGAAGCACGGGGGCAGGTGCCCAGGTACACACTAACCGCACCAGGAAGAGGAAACGAGAACCTGACCCTTGCTGAGAAGACTTAAAATTCTTCTAGTCGTGGAAAATCCTTCAAAACAGAGGGTGAAAGCAATGCAAGGCCCCGTAAGTGTGCATTAGAAGCCGTGGTGGGAACTCTGCGTCGATGCATGGAAATGTGCATCATTTTTAGAGGAACAAGGACTGATGGTGTCTCTCTCACATGTACACGCGCACACACACACACACACAGATGCCTCGGGCGTCGGGCGAATCCCACATCCTTCTCCCCAACTGTAAACAGGCGCAGTGCCCTGGTGGCCGTGCTGGGGGCACGTGAAGGAGGCGCTTGGCGAGGAACACCAGCAGTTAGTACCCCACCTGTCTCCGGACATGCCCCACACCAGTGACGACATGGGGAGGATCCTGTACCACAGCCCATGGCATAATTAGGACAGTGGGCAAATGTGTCAGTAATGGCTGGAGGTGAGAGGTAAGTAAAGAATCAGTTCTATGGAATCATTTGGTTAAACTAGCTAATTGCAACATCAATTAAAAATTTTTTACAGTGTCTTCACACAAAAAACATACAGAGCCTAATTTCTTTACAGGATGCAATTCTGTGGTCAGGGAAACGGCAAAGAGTTAAGAGGCACCCCAGGAAGGGACGAGGTGGGCCCCTGTGGAAGGGGGAGGCCGATGGCCGACGAGGACCTCTGCCATCACATCCTGAGTCGTCCCCCAGGTGGCCCCCAGGTCGGAACCAGCTGGTGGCACAGGAATCCGGACGGCTGTGTGGACGCCGCAGGAACCTGCTCCCGTGGTCCCTGCAAACACGCCCCTGACACCCACGGAACCTGACCTACAATGTAATTGTGCGCGGAACCAAGAATAAAGAAATGCAGAGGTGGGCCTGCCCTTAACGAGCCCAGCACCCAGTGAATTTTGACATTTGTCTGAACATTCTTGAAATAAACACATTTCACTGAGAAACTATCACAAGAGGCAGATGCCAAGCGCCATGCTGAAGAAGTGTTTCAGAATTGTTATTTCAACATTATGGTCCATTTTGGATGAAAACCAGTTACTCAAAATTACAGCACAGGACTGAAACCCACAGTGTACTTAATACACGTAAAAAAGATTTGAAACGATCCCAAATACTGTCTTGTTTTCCCAGGACCTCCTCCCAACTCACCTCTAGCACCGTGACATGTTGTTTGCATGTCTCCCCACACTGATTCAGTTTATAAGAAGTGATCAGGTCAGAGATGACTGAGCAATCCACTCCAGAGTACTTACCCAAAGGAACTGAAAGCAGTGACTCAAACCGGTATTTGCACACCCATGTTCATGGCAATGCTGCTCACAGCAGCCAAGAAGGAGAAGCAGCTCAAGTGTTCACTGACGGACGAACAGACACACACAACGTGGCCCATCCACGCCGAGGAACACCCCGCGGCCTTACAAGGAAGGACGTGCTGACACCTGCTATCACAGGCATGGACCTCGAGGACATGATGCTGAGAGGCCAAGGGACAGACACTGTAGGATCCCACCTCTATGAGGTCCCTGGAGTCGTCAAAGTCACAAACGCAGCGAGCGGGAGGGTGGGCGCTGGGGGCAGGGGGAGGAGGAATGGGCTCAGGGTTTCACTCTGGGGAGATGAGAAGTTCTGGAGCCCGAAGGCCGTGGGGGCTGCACACCAGTGTGAATGCCCTCAGTGCCCCTGAAACAGACACTTAAGTGGTTAAGATGATAAATTTTATGTTATGCATATCTGACCACGATAAAACTATCGGTGGGGGGATGTTACCAGGTCAGCAGAAAGGTCTGTGTTGTGCTTTCCTGACTTCTTCCCACTTCTCTTTCGTCACACACCAGAAGGACAGCAGCAGCTCGGGGGGAACCTCTCCAGAATACCGTCACCCCTCTATCCCTGTGCAGGCCCCTTAGGAGCGGGGCGGCTGCCATCGCCTGCTGACCGGCCTCCTGGCCCCTCCACTCCTCACCCCGAGGAGGAGCACACTGGCCCCAAAGAACCCAAGTTCCTCCAACCCCAAACCTCCACCACGGCTCGCTGCTGCCTCAGTGAAATCTCAGGTCCCGGGCCTGACAGCCAAGGCCGCCAGACTCCACACTCACAGCCCATCCGCATCCCGGGGGTGGTGGGGAAGCTCGCCAGCTCCAAATCCTGGCTCCACTGACCTCTGCTGCGAGGGTCCTCACCAGAGTACAGGACCGAGCGGATGTGGAACGACACGTGAAGGAGGCGCTTGGCGAGGAACGCCAGCAGTTAGTACCCCACCTGTCTCCGGACATGCCCCACACCCGTGCTGACATCACGCGCTCTACCGCGGATGTCCAAGCCGTACCCCATCCTTCAGGCTCAAGCGCTGCCTTCCTCAGGATGCCCACCTTCACCTCACCTCACCTCCTGATGCCTTATTCTTTAAGGCCTTTGGGCCGGAGGTCCCTGCTCTCGTCTCACATCATAGGGTCACAGGGTTCCCCGAAGGCAGAGCCACCCCATCTGCCTGGTGACCCGAAGCCCTGTGTTCGCGGTGCCACGGCCAACTACGGGCTGAGCAGGTGTCCCAGGAGTCCCCAGCACGGTGATGGTTCTCCAGTGACTCTAAGACCGGACTCCTTGACTTGGAGCATCTTTGCTGCCAACTGTTTTATAGAAAGGAGAACTTATAGAAGGGAAAACGTGGTTTCTGGCCCCATGGAGCCCGAGCCCGTGAGGCGGGCACCCAGAGGCCATGGGCTCAAACCTCCATGCCACCCGGAAGCCAGAAGAGCAAGGACAGCACCCACGAAGGAGCACCGGCGGGAGGGCTCCCCGGCGTGCGGCTAGCGGCTCGGGAACAGGGCCTCGAGGACCAAATGCTACCGATTAAGGAGACAAGGTCACACCCAAGGCCCACACACCGCGAACAACTGCACGCTTCTCACCAACCACAGGGTCACGGCCCAAACTGCACGTCAGTCTCAACCAGATGCTTAGAAAGAGCCTTCCCGGCCCAGCCCACACAGACACTGCTACGGAGTCGGGACCACCAAATGTGAGCCCAGGGTCAGTCACAGCCTCAAGGGGGACGGTCACGGGAGCTGAAGCCGGCCAGCCAAGTCTGTGACGACAATCCCACCCAAGCCTCACCTTGCTGACGGCAGAGAACGGATTCTCGGGACAGACTCGTGCGCACACCACCCCTGGGACGGCACATCCTTACGTCCATGACTGGTAACCTCGTGGGGACAGCCGCGGCTAATGTCCTGCTTCCGTGACTGTGCCCTGAGGTACGGTCTCAAGCAGAAGACCCTCTCTAACCAATTTCCCTTCTCAGAAATATCACACGGTCAGAGAGCTGTCGCTTGCGAAGGATCTGCTACCCTTTTAAAAATACAGGTGAGTCCTGATTTCAAGTGTAGGTTCCTCCTTTTTGCTGAAGACGACCATGAAAATTCCCTGCCTTCACCCGAGTTTCTCAGGTCAAGTCCCTCAGAGCCCCTGACCGAGCCCCTGTCGCCCTATCAGAATAACCACGGAAGCAGGCGGCAGAAGCAGACGTAACATTTACTCCATCCTCTCCTCCACTTTTCATATTAAATATCTGAAATATATTAATCTTAAAAAACAATATTAACACAGTACTCAAGGAATATAGGCAGTGGAGTCAACAGTAAGTCCAGATTGCAAAATCGTAGGGGATTTTAAAAACCGGTGTGTGGGTATGGTCGATTCTGGGTGTTTCCAGCTGCCTCGTCAACGGGAGCGTTGTGGAATTGCGCCATGGGTCAGACTGGGAGGGACACAAAGCCATAAAAAAATATACGCGGCAACCCATCGCCCCATCCCCGGGAGGAAGGTCGTGCTACGGCAGATCCTTCATCCAGCCCCGCTTGTTCCGGAGACCGGGACTGCCCCCCGCCCCAACGCCGTCAGTCTCTAAGAAGGTTCTCGGGCTTGGGGTAGCCAAAGAGGACAAAGTCGGCCTCGTAGAGTTTGTAAAGCTGCTGCCTCCAGGCCAGGGGGATCGTGGCAAACCAGTCCTCCTCCCAGCTACTGGCAGTTCTGTTCCGGTAACTCGGGGGGAAGTGAAGCAGCTTGTCCACCTTGAGGAGCCGCAGGAGCTGGGCAGCGTCCTGGTCCAGGGTCTCCAGCTTCCCCACGAAGTCGTAGTCGATCTGGCAGGGGTGGCAGAGACGGTGCACCTGCCTCCAGTGCTCGTTGAAGGGCGTCAGCTTCTCGGTACGTGGGTCCAGCAGGTACTGGATGAAGTTGGCAAAAGACACCTTGAGGCCCGCACTGAAGGCCTCGCTGACGGACGCGGGCAGGCCGGTGCGGTTGGCGTACATCTTGAGCATGGGCACGGCGAACTTGCGGTAGAACTCCTCGTTCTCCAGCTGGAACTTGCTGCGGAAGGCCGAGATGAGGCGCACGAAGGGGTCCCGCACAAACAGGAACTTGGTGTACTTCTTCAGCTTGATCTTCATCAGGTGGCGGGAGAACTTGCCGTAGCGACGCCAAAATTTGTTGAAAGTCAGGTGGGTGCTGGAGTTGTGGACATACTCCCGGGGGATGTCCAGGGGGTCGCGGTAGGGGGCTCCGCGGTCCAGGAGGCTCTCGCTCAGCACGATCATCACGCGCTTCCAGTTGGTGCAGGCCACCTTGGGCACGTAGCAGTAGATGACCCCATGGCGGTCGTCCACAATGAGATGGTTAAGCTCGTAGTTAGGAATGTCATCAAAGGAGCGCTCCTTGGTGGGGAATACGAAGCTGGCGTTGGCACAGAGGCCCCTGAGCACGCTCCTCCTCTCGGCCTGCTGCCCACCCGGGTCCGGGCCCTGCTGGGCGTCGCGGGTGGACCAGTCATAGCCCCTCACGCTCTCCTCCGCGTTGCTCAGCACAGGCCTGCTGGAGGCCGGCACGGAGGGCTGCTCCGTCCTTTTACCAGAAAGGGCGTTCTGCTTCAGGCCGCCACTGAACAGTTTCTGCAAAAACGCGTCCACGTCTGACGTGAGCCCCTTCTCTGCCCCGTGCGCAGGGGTGGGCAGTGGCTCCAGGGGGTGTGGCCTGGGGAAGGAAGTGTGCAGGTAGAAGTGGGCGGTGCCCACGTTGTCCCAGTACACGATGATCAGGAGGACCATGAAGACGGACCCCAAGACCAGCCACAGGCGGAAGAGCCGGGTTTTGGTCATTCTGTCCACGGACGGGGCGGGGGGCCCTTTCACCTGGATGCGGTCACATCAGCTTCATGGAGACGGGACACTGCTCTCAGGACCCTGGAAAGGTAACACAGAGCTACGTTAAAGACTACAGTCCAGCGAGGGGGTCCTCTTGCAGTCGGGACTCCTACCGACGGTGTTTGCTGATACCTCAGACCTCCATCGTGGTCCGAGTCCCTGCCCCGCCCCTCACACCTCCATCCTCCGCGACTTAGGCTTTGTGAGGCTGCCTGCTGAGCTTCAGCCCCTCCATGCTGCTTCTAACGCCGCTTCGAGGGGCCCGGGGGGCCCAGGACAGGTGTGGCTGGCGAGGTCGCTGGAGATCCTTTATCACTGAACTGAGAAGGGGGCGCTGACAGACCAGGCTCAGGCAGGGGCTCAGAGCCTCATGGGTAGGAAATGCCGAGGAGGAAGACAAGGTGGTCAGCGAAACCAAAACACGAGCTTAAAGTTGAATGCATGCTACAACTTATAAAAATGCTAAAGACGTCCCAGCCCCTGAGAAAAACCTTTCGCTGTGCACATTTAATGCCAATGACCACATCAGAGACAGACCACCGTGTGCGCTGACGTGTGCTGGGCACTGTGCACCGTCTCTGCCCCTCTACGTGGAAAGGGTGGAGCGCACTCGAGGGCAGAGTGGGGACAGCGAGGGTCCCCGGGCAGATGAAAGGGGGCCCGTGCGAGAGCTTTCCAGGCCCTAAGAGCACTGCTGGTGTCCCCACAGAGGAGTCAGACAGTGGCAGAGCCACGGCTAAGATGGGGAAAGGCTGCCTGATCTTCAAAAACAAAAGGGTGGTGGGAGGGTGAAGGGAGGCAGGTGCAGATTGGCAGCTATGAATGTCAGCAGGTGCCGGGGCCGCACCCTGGCGAGGTCGACCAGCAGCCCTCCCACAGCCCTCCCACAGGCCTCCAGCGGCCCTCCAGCGGCCCTCCAGCAGGCCTCCAGCAGGCCTCCAGCGGCCCTCCCGCGGCCCTCCCGCGGCCCTCCAGCAGGCCTCCCGCAGGCCTCCCGCAGGCCTCCCGCAGGCCTCCAGCAGGCCTCCAGCAGGCCTCCCGCAGGCCTCCCGCAGGCCTCCCGCAGCCCTCCAGCAGCCCTCCAGCAGCCCTCCAGCAGGCCCACTGGCTCAGGGGCAGGCGGCCACCCTTGTGCATGGGGAGATGCAGGTCGGACGACGGATTTGTGGCTCCCTTACAACTTCCACTGAAGCCTGTCCTTGACAACAGTCAAGGTCAATACCAGAAATGCCAGAGGAGCCCATCCCGTTTGACAGATATGCTGAGCACCAACTCTGTCCCGATACTTGGCGAAGTGCTAGGGACACCCCAGGGAAGATGTGGTGTCCGATCGAGTGCTGGGACAGAGAACGCTGGTGAGGTGGCAGGTAACCCCGGGGGAGGACCCTAGCCCGGGGATGACAGGATGTGCAGTCATGCCCAGGGCCTCCCGTGGTTCCACTCCATCACAGATCTGCCCACTCACAACACAACAGCTAGAGATGTGACACAACAAACAGGCACAGGAAGGCTCGGGAAGGACAGTCCAGGGACCTGGCTGCTCGAGGAACAACAGGAGGAGGAGCCTGTCCCACCTCCCAGAGGGCACTGCCTCCAACCCTGAGGAGCCATCAGGCACAGGAAAAAAGCTCCAAGAAGAGCCTCTGAGGAAGAGCCCAGGGAAAGGACGGGCAAGAGTGGTGCAGTAAAGGGCTGAACCTTGCCCAGAGAGGCCCCTCCTGCCCGCGGCTCCTCGGGGGGGGGCTCTGCCTGACAGGAGTGTCTTTGTTTCCTGGGGGCCTTAGGCTAACAGTGTGATTGGGGGCTCGAGGGGCTTTGGGTTCCAGTGTCAGCCCGACCTCCAGAGGGGCTGGAGGCTGAGGTCAGCCACGTGGAGAGTCTACCTGTTTGATGACAAAGGCCCAGGAGAGACTGTGGACGCGAAGGCTTGGGGGGAGTACTCCACGCACGCCGTCACACATCAATGGAAGCTGGCATCGGCCCTGTCCAGACCTCCGCTGAGAGGGGACAACTCCTCCCCCCGCGCCTCTTCCCTTGGCTTGTGATTTGAATCCTTTGCTGTGATGAGCCGTAATGGTGGGTACAACACCTTTCCGAGGGCTCCGTGGGTCCTTCCAGTGAATTATTCAACCTGAGGGTGGTCTTGGGACCCCACTCCCCATTTACTATTGGTGTGAGGACTGAGAAGGGTCTTTTTTTTTTTTTTTTAAAGATTTTATTTATTTGAGAGAGAGAGAGAGAATGAGAGATAGAAAGCACGAGAGGGAAGAGGGTCAGAGGGAGAAGCAGACTCCCTGCTGAGCAGGAAGCCCGATGTGGGACTCGATCCCGGGACTCCAGGATCATGACCTGAGCCGAAGGCAGTCGCTTAACCAACTGAGCCACCCAGGCGCCCCTGAGAAGGGTCTTGAGAACTGTTCCTAACCTTACAGTAACCTAACAACAGAAACATCTTTTTGGAAACACCTGCTCTACTTAGGCCAGACATCAGTGGAAAAACCACCCCCACCCTCGCAGTTCAGCAGGGCCGGGCAGTGAGTCGACCTCCCCGACCGGGCACCAACAGGCAGAAGAAGATGGTGCAAAGCAGGGTATTCACACTTGGACTCCCCTCCCCTTACAACAGGAGATGCCGGGGGGTGAGGGGAGCTGAGCCTGCCCCTCCGCACCAGGCCATCATCACTGGGATGGAACATTTCCAGGATGGAAAACATTTGTCAGTATTAATCAACATAGGTTAGCCACTGAGGGCTACCTGCCAGGGTCAGCGTACCCCCTGGTCCCCTGCCAGATCCCCCAGTGTGTGCCTCTGCTTACCTCTCCCCCAGAGGGCAGTCCCCCAAGCCACCAGCAGAGCTGGCCCACCCTGCCAGCAACTGAGAGTAGAAACTAGATTCAGAAAGATGAACAAATAAGCTGGAAAGATGGGTTGAAAATCAGAGTTGGACACTGAGGTTGGGATGAACATCAAGCTGTCCTCCTAGGTAAAAAAGAATCAGCGATACCGGACAGAGACCTTGGAGCTGGACACACGGCAAAAAAAAAAGATGAGGCAGACAGAAAAGTAAACGTGGTACTAATTTGCATGAACACACACGCCTGCAGGTATAGACCCACCACACCTGGCCCCTGTGCCCAGCACAGTCTTGGGACATCAGCTCTAAGGAACAATGCTGGCCACGCTCATGGGTCTCGGAAGACGCTAATCCCTTCCAGTGAGATCGTTCACCTTCACCTCTGTTCTGAGGTCTATGTTTTAGACCTGGACCGTCTTACAGCCCCTTTCAGAGGGAGGAGGGTAAAAGACAAATTATCATACCCGTGTTCAGTGAGTGTGACCTTACAGTTCGAGGTTCCTGGAAAAGTTCAAGATCTGTACCCCTCTATTCTGGCCTTCACCTCCTCTCGGTAGAAGCGTTCAATGGGCATGTGTCTTAATCCACTTGTTAAGAGAAGTGGGGTCCTTGCCTCTCCTCTGGCTTCTGACGGCCCTCAGGTTCTCTTCCCCCACAGCACCTGCGGAAGGGGAGCAGGTGCAGGAATGGGGGCCGCTCTATCGGAGGAGAGATTTGCGTCAAGGCCTCCACTAGCTGGAGGGTTGTCCCGTGGGAGGGGAGCAGGCTTATCCTGTGCGGCTTCAGAAGACAAAACTCAGACACCGGTCCAGCTTAACGAGAGAATGGATGCACTACCATAAAGTGGCCCAAACCCCTAATGTCCACTTTTAAGACATACTGGGAGCTCTGTCAGTATCAGAGGACATCTGAGCAGACATAGATGGAGCACGTCTTAGGGGTGCTCCAGGGAGAGTCCCCCATTGCACATGCTGACTTCTCCCTGTCCGAACTTCTCCGAGTCTGTATTCCTTGTATGCGTTCAACTATGTAGCTGGGACCTGATGCATTTTCACTACATGAACCTAAAACTTCATGAGGCCGAAATGTGGAAGCAATCTCTACCTGTGTGGCTTTTGTTTATGCTCGGTTCATTTTGTTTTTTTAATGGAGAAGGTAACACACGTTCATGGTACAAAGGTCGGCATGCAAAGGGTAGTGTGGGTTTTATGTGAAAGGTGCTGAAACAGGCAAGTGACAGAGAAAAAAGGACATTCTGGTCACTGCCACCTTCATCAGTCCTTCCTGAGCCCCCAGCGCTCTCAGTGCACCCCTACAGGAAAGGCAACCCAGCTTGGGTGCAGAGAAACCTGGCCGACCCCATGCTGCCATGGCCCAGGGCAGCACACAGCTTCATGTACGTATCACACGGGATGCAGGCAGTCACTGTGCCGTGAGAACCATCAGAATTAGGGGTGCTCGTCTCTCACACAGCTGCTGCCAGAGGTCAGCGAGCTCCCTTTGGGGCTGTGCCATTGAAGTTTTCAAGACCATCCTCTCTGGAGGATGTAAAAGGCTGCATGGTTTCTAGAGAAGATGAAACTGTATCAAAAAAAAAAAAAAGTTTTGCCGAAGGCTGAGAAAGCAGCAAAGGGCAAAGGTGACTGAAAATGTCACATGACTGAGAGCTCGGCTTCCAGTTTTAAAAGCAAGACTCACAAGCACTGTGGAGGTGGGGCAGAGTCCCCGAGTCCCGTCCGTGGGCATAGGCACCACCACGCGTCAGGGACACACCGTCATTTGTGTATTGAGAATGCCAAGAACCAGGTAAGGGACTTATCTGGTTATAATGAATAATCTAAAAATACAACACATGATATACAAATAAATACCTCTGCTTATTTTTCAGCCAAGAAGTACTACATGCACACTGACAAATGCCAGGGTCTACAGCAGTTTGTGAAAACGGACTCTCTTTACTAATCATTTCACATGATTTCAGTTTAATTGCAAGGAAAAGACATGGATCATATGATACGTACCTATGATATCTTTTTAATACGAGCTGCCCTTTAAAGGGCTCTTACCACCGAGTGCAAAGCGCTTGGAGGAGCGTGCCAC